AAACTAGTGCGCTGCTCTGTAGAGGAAAAAATTATCTGCCGAACCAAATAAAAAGCATTGGAGAGTTTTCGTCTTTCCAACGAATTTCGATGCAAGAACTGAAAGCTGTCTCGTTTATGAGACCCAATCCTACGACCCTGCGAAAGAGCGGTTGGCGATGACCAATGGGAATGCAAGAGACTACGTGCCAGTGACTCTGCTTCCAGACTCCCAAAGCCCGGCTTCTAGCCACATGCGATGCTCCCACGCAAGTATCATGAAGAGAATGCCTTCATTCTCTCTTGTAGACTCATAGGGTTCAATACTGAAAATCAGCCGATGGAAATTGTCCCAACGCCGGTCTTTCCGGTCCCTTACCTATACAATTGCTTGAGGCTAAACGAGGCCTAACTAATGCATTTTCAACGTTAATGCTTTTTCACTTCATAGACCTTTCACTCGGCTAATTTTCTTCCACATTTCTGCAACATCATCTAGGCTTTTATTGAAGACCGCGCCTTCAATTTTACCGCAATAGTACTGTGTTAGGTGCAAAACTTATAATCCTGCTCCAAACTCGATCTCGCACCCCACGCTTTTCCGGGCGGGTGCGGCACCAGGGCTACATTTACGCTCATACTAAAACAGCTTCGAAACTCAGAGTAAATTCGTGTTTCTTTGAGCATATGGCATTACAATGAAGAAAAAGTGATTTTGGTTTCATTGGTTTTTACTGCATTCGGGATAGAGTGAACATACATTTCCATTTAACCAAGGAATTCGAACGTTCGATGTACGGAAAGAAGCTGAAAGCTCCCGATGGAAGGAGTGCACATCTCAGACCATGCGAAGAACGAATTACGCTGCTAGTGCCATTTATGTCAGCAAAGCGTTCGACCAGGTAGTTTTCTGGAAATACTGCGAAATCTCGTTGAATTCATGTCATGCTGTAATATTGGTGTAGGCATCAAAGAACTCAACGTTGGATATGGCGAACGATATAAAAGAAGCGTTCCACGGAATGCTTGTCGAAGAAGACTGGATGGACAATGCTACAATGAAGGTTCTTTTTGTAGAACAAAACTCTCCCGCTAATTGCAGTGGCCTGGTGTTCTCGCATACCCTATTTGAAGGCATCTTCTAAAGAGCTGTAGAGTTCAAAACTGAGGTTGTATCGTGGCGATTCGGGAAGGGGTTTTTTTCTTGAGCTTCGATATACAGAATTCCACATGATCGACATCAATACCTTTATTATGGTCAGTAATGAGCGCTGGTGCGCTTTTGACGCTTTCTTCTTCTTTTTATTCCTTTAGGCCACCTACCACTGACACTTTCGTTTGTTCAATTAGCTGCTTAGGATTTGCTATCATATGTTATTCACTGGGGAACAAAATGCGAACTGTGCCATCGACTGAAGGGAAGATAACATTTTCTTAACACCACTCAACTGCTACTGCCAAAAACGCGAACTTCTTTTTCATAAAAATTTTGCATAAAAATTTAAAAAATTTTGGGGGGGGGGGTTATACAGTGGTCGCGGGTATAGCTTTAGGTTTTCGTACTTACCACCAATTTTACGTCAGATTCATTCAATGCCTGATCAAACGGCCATCAAACTCATAGCGCGGTTCATAGTGGTAGGACGTCGACTCTCAGAAGGAAAATGGGAGCAGCCAGAAACATCATTGAGTGGTAAAAGGAAGAAATAGGGCTGTCAAGAGCTGATGAGGGTCTCAGAAGAAGAGGTTCACGAAATTTGCAGTAAGGGTCACGGTATCACTGGAATCTTGGTTCCGGGAAGTGGTACATGGACCAGCATGTGTACATTATTGGTCGGCGGCA